CCTGTTTTGTGCTCACTGCAGTTTACTTACCGTCCCAAAACTTGTCTCATTCTTTCACCCGCCTTTTAGTCCCATGACTGTGCTGATCTGATTTTCTGCCAAGTCTGTCTGGGTGGACGTGGCCGAAAGGGCGGAACCACACCGGTAATCTTCCTTAATCTGTTACTATATAATTATGATCAGACCGACCCATAACTTCATTTTACGAGCTTCTGTGGCTCTGGGCTTAAGGCCAGTCTTTTAAGAGGACTTTAGCTCGCCAATAGACCTCTTCCTCGCACGTGAAACTGCTGCATTCTATTTATTTCTGGCCGAATGTTTTAAAGATACGTAAGAAGTAACGGTATTTGAGGGAGTTAGGCGGTTTATGCTAAGTAACGTGCTTCCGAACTATTCAGATCTGATAGTATTTCAAATTCTCTAGGCTGTTGTTACCTCTAATGGAGATAAACTAGAAAGGATCGTCAGAAAGGTCTATCGCCACTGACTAAGACCTTGCCAGTGGGTCATGAGGCTCTAGCCACCCACACCCACCTTTCACTAGTGGCATATTCGTTGGGTGAGAGAATACGCCAGACTTGGTCCAAGTCTGGCAAAGCGTTCGGAAGTCATCCAGAGTTTTCATAACGGTTTTCTGACTGACCTGGGCCAACGAGTTTAAACGGTAGTTCCTCCAAACTGTAAAATACTGCTCATTGTATGTGGCAGTCAACCACGGCACCATGCTCGTTTAGGGTGGTTCCGGTGCCTTTGTCCGGGAGGCTTTACGCGGTGTCCCTCCTTGAACATCTACGCTATTATCGATCCTGATCCTTCACATTTTACAGTGCGTTTCTGTGTGCTTGTTAGCGTCCTCACAGACATCTGAATTAATTCCTTACCTGTCTACTCTTATTTTCGGTTAGACTGCGTGGCTTTTTAGAGCCTCTAGCCCTCTGGTTTCGATAGAGAATCTTTGTCGATAACTTTGGATCTGTAAATCAACTTTCATAGGTCTTGGTGACTAAGATTCTGCCGTATGAGTGGGGTACTCAACTCGTTATTGTTCCTTTCTTTTTCCACCTGCATAAGCCTTCATCTTGGCACAACCTGTTACTTAATAGCCTTCTGAATTGAAAACAGAAATGATCTGGGCGTTCACTGAGCGAGGAGGATTTTGCAAAAATATCCCTGAGTGAATTCTAGACAACGATGAAAGAGGATTCTAGCATTGTCCGACAAATTGCCGAGCTAGACACTTACCAGGATGATAGTTTCCTGCATCACAAAGTAGACCTGGCGTCCAACCGCTTCCGTTGTCCCGAACCTCCGTATCTTGATCATTTCGAGCACATGTGGGATCTCTCGTCCCATCGCTCAGTAACTTAGAGCATTTTATCCTTCGCCGTCTCTCCTACGCTGTATCAGCAACTGCTCCAATAATCCAAAAGATTATACAAACAAGCTAGGGATATTTACTGTGATAATCGTGACAATTATGGGATCAGCAGCGTACCGACATATCGATGATCGATCAATTCTACCCCTCATGGTAACACTGTGGTTGCGTTCATACTCTGGCATTCTATTCGGTGGGGGAAATTTCGTAGGACGCACTTTGTCTTTATAAGCGGAGATATTTGACGGAACGCCGACCTTGAGCACGTGGTAACTAAATAGCTGTCAGCTATCCCTGCCTCGAGATAAACGGCTGTCACCTAGAAGAAAGTGATTTGAAAATACCTACCACTCGTAAGCCTAAACCTTCTCTTCTATCGGGATTTTGGCGCTGTTGGATTCTTATTTGGACCGTCTGGTGGGCAGGATGTGTTCTAGAGAGAATCCCTACGAATTTCAGTCTCCCCACCTTTTCCTCGAAACGGCAATAGGGTCTTTTTTGTTTTTGCATCACGGTTCGACCTAGGTATTGTTCTCTCTTTTACATCGCGTATATAATTTAGTGGCAGTTGTTGGGTAAAAACTGTTGTTTGGTTGCTTCATGTATGCTGGTTTTGTTTTCACGTTCCTTAATATCGCTTTTTATGTCCTTGTATAGCGATTCACAGACTTCGCCCTCACTGGACTAGTATTTACTTTAAGTATACGCCTGTCCCGTTAGACGCACAATCTCAATCAGTAAACTGGCGTAGGGCCCGTAATACTTCCAATCCTTGTCCGTAGAGCCCTAACTGTTGCAGTTCCTCAAAACGCTAAGCCTTAACTTCTTCTCTCTGACAGACCGGACGGCGACCCAGAGAAGAAGTCAGTTGTCGAATTGATTTTCAGTACGGTGCGTTTATTAACCCCCCCCCCTCACTTACACGCGAGCTAGCAATCATGGTCTCGCTCACAAAGTCGATGACTTATTCCCTTACCGATCTAGATGCTCTTCACACTAACCGTCAATACGATTTCGGTTAGGACACAACTTCTCAAGCACATAGAGCCAGGGGACATTATATGCCTCCGGTGATTAGCTACCGGCATATCAACACGCAAAGCCTAGTGCGGCCTTACCAGGAGCCAGCAAATTATGCCAGGGACGAAATGTACAGTAAATTGAGTCGTCATGTGGATGCAGTTCAGTGCCAGAGGCCGTATGCTTGACTCATCCCTTCGGTCGACTAGAGTGGGCTTCAGGACTTCACTGCTCCAGGTCACCAGCATCGTTGCATTTTGATTTTGAGGATTTTCTTGTTTTACCTTTTCAGTACGTAGGTGAGGCCCATGTCCCCCATTTCGCTCTCGCTATTGGACGCTGCCAAGTTCAGTTGCTTGACAAGAACTCGAAAAAGTTCTGTTCTCGTTTCACGGTTGAACCTGTGGCCGATTGCAGCCCATAACCGTCGCTGTGTCGACTTTTGTTTCTCGTCTGACAAGCACACCACGCCCTTTAAAGATGTTTCCAACACCCTACACATCTCGATTCAGTTCTGAGTAGCATTCAGTCGGAAGTTGCCTGTAGCATCTGCTTCCTTGTCAAGTTGCTAGTACTACAATCATGCCCACCGTCGTTGTAGAAAAAATCTCCATTTACACGGCCTCTCTCGCAGTACCTTATTGATCGGATCACATTTCCAAGTCCGTCTCTCACTAACCACTGCTTTTTAACAAGTCCTAGCTGGCGACTGGGCGGCCATCTCGATGCCTGCCCGTTATTACACTATTCCTGCTGCACAATATGCTTGCGTATCCTGAACTACTTTCTGTTTCTGTTTGCCTTCAGCTCGTCGAATGTCCCGTGTGTTGTCAATCGATCTACTGTGAGGACACGGTGATTTGTTGTTTCCGTTGCAACTTTCGGAAGCGCGCAACTCCCGGGCACGAGAATTGAAAACTAGATAGGCAGGTGCCTTGCTGTGATATATCTGCCTTAGGGCGTCTCTTTCTATTGACCATTCGGCCTTTTCATCTAGTCTGTGGGAAGCCAACTTTGCATCCTCAGTCACTTCGCTTACTAGCGGGACGGCGTCGCTCGCTTCAGTTATCGTCCGGAAGCGCTTCTTGACTGCGACTATACACCGACATCTGCGGATTGGAGGGTTGCCAATTAGCAGGGTGAGTCCACTTCAGAGCCGGGGTTCAGGCTACAATATTCTGTCCTTATAGCGGCCGTTATGGCACTCAGTTGCGTGAGGTCCACGACTCCTCTACGACTCACCGGTCTTGAAAACCCGTTGCAGGCGCGGACGTGGCCCTAACCTCGTCGTCACTGCATCTTGCCGTTAAAACACGACCGGTGTAGGAATAGAGCAAGGGAAGTGCTGCAAGTCTTCCTTTCTGTAAACGAACTCACAAACAACTACCGCGCCTCCTCCGTCGCATGTATTTGGCGAATTTCGCATAGTACCGCCTACCTCTAGTCGTGGCGTCTGGGGCTGCTACCATGAGCATGAGACGCTTGGTCCGCTTGTCGACGGTTCACTTGCGCTCACCGTGGTCCTGAGGCTGTAGTGACCGTGGCTCGCATGTTTTGAGGACCAGTCTATCCGCGCATGGACATCCTGACCACGTCTTTACCGTCAGTAGCTTTTAAACCTAGATAGCCCCTTCAGCTGTGATAAATTTCTGAGTGCACGACAGAATGGCAGCCAATCTTTACGCACATTTACAAGTGGCGGGGTGTCCGCTGTGCATTTCCTTGGTACCCAGCTTCCGTCCGTGACCCCCGACAGCCCACAGATGGGACCAGACGACAGCCGTCAGGCCCCAATTATCTCGGTGGCTGTCATGTACGACTGTCCCTTGACGGGAAACTCGTTCCTGCAGATGGGAAACCGGCAGTGCACCCTCATACGAAAATGGGCGCAGGGCGTCTGCCAGGACCCACTTCTGGCCGTATCGACCTAGTCTTGTTGTTGGAACCAAGTGTGAGCATCGCCGCACTCTCCTACCCTTGTAACCCAGTCCCAAGCCATCTCGTCAGTTATGCGATGGAGTAAACCACTACTCCCGTCCTTGCGGTGCTGCTGATTGCCCCAAAAAAGATCGCTGGTGCAGACCGCACAAATTGCGGGCACAACTGCCTCCGGGCGACACCCAGGCACAGCCATACCCTCGCAGAGCGGACGCTTCAGCAGCGATAAACATGGCGAACCCTGTAGTACTTGTAAGATGTGGAATTCAGCAAGTTCCCACCCCCCCCCTTGATTCCACTGGTCATATATGTAGAACTCGCTGTCCTGGCCCATCACCAGTGCGGTGTCAACATCACGTTTACTCCAAGATGCCTCTCTTATGTCAGAATACGCCCATGCTCCCACTGAGATGTGCCTACCACACCCGATGAGTTTCAAGGCTGACAGCGTCACGTCGCTGTAACTCTTAATGTGACTGCAGCGGCCCGAGAAAAATTGCCACATAGAGGCAGTTCTTTTGTAAAAATGTTTGGTTTGCCTCGTTCTGCATCTATGGTACAATTCATTGGAACAATGAGTAAAAAAGCGAAGAGGGAATTGCCGCGCATTAGTAGTGTACATACTGCACTGGGGAAAGTAAATGTCAGCAGATAAAAATAATCTTCAGATATTATACATTAGCGTGTTCGCTGGTATTATGCCATTTTGAGATTCTTTTTTGTTCTCGTCCACAGGACGAGAGCAGTCCGTAGGATTGAGTCCTGAATTAAGCTGAGGTAGCCAGTCAAAGTCATCGTTGTCTCTCCTAGAGCCATTGACTCCTGAAGGACTGATTGACACCTTTATGCCACTCTTAATGAGTGGACTGTTTGCTGTTTTGGCCGAACTTGTGGAAGCCGTTTGAGGATCTGGACAGCCGCTGGCCAACGCTACGTTTTTCTAGATTCAAGGGAAAAAACAAAACCGCTAACTTACAAAGTATTCGGAGACGATTCTTTGGAGATGCGTCGGTCTCCGATTTCAAATAGTTTCGATGAAAATCCTACCCAGAATCCGAAAATGAGCGAGTGGGTTTGGTTGGGTAATAACCGGACATTTTCTACAAGCTGCAAGTCATGTGGAATGTATTATCAGCAGTGGTGGTGCCGCAGTTCGCCAGTGACTTTTTTACCTTTAGTTCTTTCCATTCCAGGCCTTGTCAAGCTGATGGGCAACCGGAGATTGAACCGGCGCATGCACCCTGCCCAGCACTGACTATTTGCTGTGCTTGCACTTTGCTACCTTATTTGCGCGCCTTCTCGCTTTGCATTGCGACTCAAATAAAGTTCATATCCTCATTAGCTAACACCATTCACGCGCGCGCGATCCCAGATAGAGGGACAGGCCTGCCTCACTAATCTACCAATGCTTTTTTCAATCCTCGTTTCTACTAACTAGCAGCTCTCCAATGGACGACCGTCCGGCTCTTGTCGGGGGCATCAGTGATAAGGGCCACCCACCGGCAGGGGGTCCAAGCATCGTCTCTGGGAATCCAATCTACAAACAGGGGCGGGGGTGCCAGCCACTGAATAGTGGATTGACGCTACGATCTATTCGAAAGCGTACTTATCGCAAGATGGCGTGTACGTGGAACCAAATACTAAGATAATTGGTGGACTCTGGGGACCCGAAGTTAAAGTTAGCAGGCGGTGTATTGTCACCACTGCTTCTGCATAGGTACGAGCGTAGAGACGTCCGTTGCCCGGGTCACCCTGCTGATCTCAATATGAGTATCTGAGAGCTGGGCCCTTGTACAGACGACTGGATTGTTAGCGGCGTCAACTGTGTCTGCAATGCGAAGTTGCGGCGACCCGAGCTGTCATTTGTCGTTGGAATGGCCGGAATGGTAGGTAAATGCGTAGCCAACAGGGTTCAAAAGCTAGTAACGGGGAATGAAGGTTGGCACATCTACTCCCGTAACGGAAAATCCCCAGTCCTTCGTCATCCGTTCTTTCCTTTTTAACCGGATGCACCCTTCGCGCCACAAAGCCACTTTTGATTTTAAAAAAGCATGAGGATAATTAAGGCCAGTTGATGCAAATCCTATTGACAATTGGCAGGTGTGTCCCAAGGCGTCCGACTTGCCAGCACTGGTGCCCGCAAAGTATCGGTGATATGATGGGACACGCCGGGCATGCTTTTTACGCTGCAGGTCTGGCCTTCCATTATTACGACAAAGTCAGCTAAGACTCGAATAGGACTAATCACTGGCACCAAACTCATAGGTGGCAAATATCATCTGGTCCAAACAGTCTATTCAGTTAACTCAATGTGAGAAACTGGCGAATTTGGACCTAGGACAGCAGGGGCACGGCTTGAGTACACCCAACGCTCTAACTACATAACCTACGGGGCCCCACTGGGAGTTATAGATTTAATTAGATTTTGGGTCAGGTTCCCCATGCGGTCTGCTGCAACGTACGGAATCAACCAACTCTGATACAATAAGCCGAACGCCCAACCAAGATTTCCTAATTAATTAAGGCACGGGTGCACAGCAGTGAGTACTACCTTCAACTACTACGTGAGCAAAGTGCGCTCCGCAGGCACCCGCTGCAGGTGTGGTATCGTCCAGCGTAAGTCGGCTGCCCGTCTGGTTGCGCAAACTCACTAGTCTTAAAGGTTGCGTCGGGCTTTGGAGCATAAGAAGGGTGTACACTACGTGAACAACCCTACACCGTCGTATGTCATGCGGACGCAAGGTCGAGAAATCTAACACAGGACTCCGGGAATTTCCCGCCGTATAAACATGGAGTTGCGGGCCAACCATGTTTCAGACTGCGTACTTGAGTCCTTTGCTGTTCGTAAAAAGTGGGGACAATGTTGGTCACCAGTGAAACTGCTCACCATAGACGTCGGCGAAGTACTTCTCAGCTTCGCAACTGGTGGACAGTCTGGCCGCTGGACTTCCGAAGACTTTGTGTCGGGCTGAATTGAGCCACCTGTCTTCGATGAGCTAGCGTGAGCTGCCAGACTACCACGCTGGAGGAGGGAGAAAGACTTATCAGGAAGGCAAGCAAGGGAGTTAGGCAGCTGGCGTGCTGGCATATCGGGAGCCTTCTGTTGAAAAGGGATGCTCTGGCTGACTGGGAGGTAGGCCCATTTAGACAGTCTCGAAAAAGCGAGAGCCAAGACATTATCCGGCGGATCCCTAAGGAGAGATAACCGCAGGCGCTGTGCCAGCGTTTGGGGTTGACAACGGCTTCTGTCATCAAAAATTCTTCGTGACAGGGAACTGCGTCTGGGGAAGCGGTCTGGGTCCAAGGGCTTCACGTAGTTGTTCACGGGCACCCACCGACGTATCTCTGTTCTATCTAGCTGAATAGGTGGATCTGCAGTGTCGACCTGTAAGAAGAATTCAGCCAATTCTTCCGAGGGAGGGGGGACGCGATCGAGGATGATGCGGCCACCACGGCCCAAACGGCGTCTTACGTAGCCGGTGTACCTTTGGCGGTTCTCATGTGTCACACGAGGAACGGTCGTAAGGCGATAAGTCTCGAATTCTTCATCACCGAAGCCAGCCGTCCGAAGATCTCTAAAAAACAGCAAATTTGTCTTGTAAGTCGTATGTCGGCGCAACTACCACACAAAACTAATATTGGAAGTTGTCACGCCGGGCGTGCCAGCGTCAGATAAGGTAGACGTGGACGTACAAGGGCCTCTGATATTTGCATCCTGGGAGTCTGATGAAAGCAAACGGATCAGATTCCGTCGGTTGTGCTTGCTCTTCATCGGAGACCCCGCAGCTATCAAGCTTCGTTGCATCCAGGGATCTATGAGGCATCTTTCGTTTACGAGAGGATGACTAGGACACTTTGAGCCAAGAAACGACAGCATACCTTTTTGGAATGAGCGTTCAACACACGCTCAAATGATTTTGGGGACTTCTGTGCGACCGCGTCTGCCTCCGAGAGGTGTACACAGTCCCAATCGCCCAAATGGTATCGCAATTGGAATAACCTGCGCTCAGTCTCCAACAACGACTCCTTAGTTGCTTCTCGTTTTACTAGACGGGACATAATCTCGCTGTAGAAAAGACACAAAGTAAAAAATGAATGCTCGTCTCACCCTAATACGTTCATTTGTTCCCGAAGTATGAGCATCTTCTCGTAAGAGTATTCGTCGTTCTTGCGATTCTTACGGGTTTGCATACGCTCCGTCCGACGTCTAAAAGCCACGTAAGGATCATTGTTGCTCCCAGCGTCACGCTTCTCCTGACGCACAGACAGCAGAAGCGGTTGGCGGCACTGTATACGTTTGTTGAGCCAATAATCATAAACAGCGATGACGAGGGAAGGATCGTCTTTCAGAAGGAGACGGGCCTCCTCCAGATTCATAACCCGCTGGCCACAACCCCTCTCCAGCCGATCCATCATGCTCTCAAATTTTTCTGGCGATAGATTTAAGTCACTTCGGTGCAGCCAATCCTCATCATCCGTGTCCATGTCGTACTCAATTGGCTCCTCTTCGGCCAACGCAATAGCTAAAAGTCACATTATAACGAAACGGACGTACTTCGGATGTGAATCAGATGCTTCGGAGGCGAGAACGACATCGTATAAGTCTTCTCGTATTCTTCTGACCGATCGATGATCTCGGGGACGGGAATGCTGACGTCTGACGGCTTCTGCAGCTGGAGCGCTTGAATGACCTCGAGGAAGTGGTGCTCCTAGAAAATGAGGTGAGAAGACGCACTTAGTCCCTACGCCAAGTTAGTCGTGAGCGTGTTGCAGAATCAGCAAAACCAGACATATGGGCCTGAGCGGAACTGTGACCGCCTACTAAGTGCGCATAGGAACCGGCTGGACGCACTCTGAAAACCCAAGATTCACCTGTTACACCAAGCAACCCGTCCTCGGGGAGCCAAGCCGTACTGACGGACCTTGATAATCGGCATCCGCTAGCAACCAAAACCGAAAGACCGGAGGAAGCATCCACAGTCAACGCCCACGCCTAATAAGGACCGTCTCCATCCCTAATAGCAAAGCGAGCTCGTTGCAAGCTCGTAACGGGGTATGCATGGTACTAAATCAGGGAACTGAAATAAACCCGAACTCTTACTGCGAGACTGAATTATGATTGCAGAACCCAAAACCAGAAAACCGCACGGGAAGCAAACTCCTGCAGCTCTCTGGATGGGTGCTGGGCTCAACACGAAGAGTTGATCATGCGCAAAGTAAACGGGCCTCCACTAAAGGGGTGGAACTAAAACACAGGCCACAGAATATATGGCACACAGGCGACCCCGGATGGTTGTAAAAACGCCCGCTTGGGCAGTTATTTGAGCGCCCTTACCCCTACAACGAGACCGACAGAAGACAGTAAAAAAAGATTCGCAGTATTTCAGAGGAAAGCTTGTAATGGTTTCTCAGCGTTAACATTACGTTCTCCTCCTCTCGTTCCATGCCACTGGGAACTTGGGGTACACCCCGGCCGACAAACGTTCCTTCCCCAAGTTCGAAAAACATGTCGGATCCATATTTCACAATCGGCAGAGGTCTGTTGAAGTCGATTTGGCGCGTTCGGAAGGAGACTTTGCTCATCCTACAAAAGAAAGTATAGGGTAATTCATAGCCGGGTGTGGGGCTGCCATACGCCAGATACTAACGGTACACATACGTTTCGGTGAGGTTTGTTTGATTAGTCTTTTAAAAAGAGAAAAAAGTCGCCATCATGCACCTCTTCAAGGAGAAAACGAACAAAAACAGCCCGATTCAATATGGCGGCGAGGAAATTTGGAAGGGCGCTAATGGCTGTAAGTGACTTTGAACAAACAAAATGACATTAAACAATGGTGAAAGTTTCAGCCTACAAATGTTTTCCTGGGAGACTGTTCATCGTGGGTATGTGCCAACAAAGCATGAATACCTGTAGTGTCAAGCCGGTATTTTTTGTTTTCGTGACTGGGCAGATCAAGTTAGGATTACGGCGTAGGTACTACCTACTGGATGCCTCACTAGACAGCCATCAATTCCACATGGAATCAGTGCTTATATTCATGCTGAGCATATGGTATTTTTCCGGACTCTTCAGTCCGGTCAGCCGTTATACTTGACAAGGTAGTGAAGGAGAAGAGTCGAGCACCGGAACACTTCGTTTATTATCCTGAGTTTTCAGACTCGTACAGGAGTCCATCGTCAGAGGTAGTGGCATAGACCTCCGAGGTTGGAGAATTCAATCAAACGACATCATGGTCTCATTCGATGTGACGTCGCTATTCACATCCATCTCATCAAACGTGGCCCGCGAAGTCTTGCGCAAGAGACTTGAAGAGGCGCATGATGAGACTCAGAATGCCCTCAAAATTGAACAACTAATGAGGCTGTTTGAATTCTGTCAACAAACTTTCTTCACTTTTGCGGGAGAGACCTATGAACAAATCAAGGGAACTCCAATGGGCTCACCGGTCTCCACTTTGGTGGCAGAACTGGGCCTACAGGAGTTAGAAAAGATTGCCTTCCTCCAACATGAACCGATGTTTTGGCGCCGTTACGTTGACGACACGTTCGTCATCGTAAAGAAGGACATGCTGCAATATTTCCACAGCCTGCTCAACGCAGTCTTCCCTGATATAAAATTCACGAGGGAAGAAGAACCGGAACAGCAGTTGCCCTTCCTGGATGTGCTCGTCAGACGAAACCTTAACGGTGAACTTGAAACGACGGTTTGTAGGAAGGCAACGAAAACCACACAGCTTCTCAGTTTCCACAGCAACCATCCGGTGGCTCATAAACGAAGCTGTGTGAAGACCCTCTTCAAACGGATCCAAACTCATTGCAGCAAACCGGAGGACAGAGCACGTAAGGCCCGTTATCTGCGCGACCAGTTTGTGCAAAATGGCTATCCGAGGGCATTCATAAGTCGCTGCCTACGCGGTCGCCACCAGAGAACTCGAACATCAACGCCACCGACGGTATGGCATTCTTTGTAATACATCAAGGGGGTTTCAGAGGCGACCGAGCGCATTGCTGTGGAGCTAGGTGTTGGAATTGCACACCGCACCAAACCCACCATGTGCAGCAGGGTCATGAAAATCAAAGACCGATTAAAACCTGAAGAGCAATCTGCATTAGTGTATCACATTCCGTGTCAAAATTGTCCTTGTAACTACACAGGACAGACTGGACGCATGCTCGGATCGCGCATACACGAACATAAGCTGGCTGTGCGGCGAGGCGACGCATTATCACAAGTGGTCGCCCACACCTACGAAATGGGTCACGAGTTAAACTTCGCAGACACCAAAATAGTCGCCCACGCCGGAAACAAAACAGGCCGAGAATGGATTGAAGCCTGGGCCTCGGATGAGAACTTGGTCAATCGATTTATCAATCTAACGCCGGCGTACAGAGCCCTGCGTAGTCACCTCCAGTCGTGCGACGTCGGTCGATGATTGGGCCTACATGCCTTATAACTGCCGCTTGTCCTGTTTCTGCCTCTACCTCTGACGATGGACTCCTGTACGAGTCTGAAAGCTCAGGATAATAAACGAAGTGTTCCGGTGCTCGACTCTTCTTCTTCACTTATGCATACACCTGGAACTCGAAATTTCGCCTTCATTTGTTGACAGGGTAGACTAAAGAATCAAAGACCTCATGTACCTCAGCGATCAGGAGTCTAGAAATTCAGCTACACCGCCAGACTAAAGTCACTGCTGGCGAAGATTAGCTAAATTCTGGCTTGATTAAAGAAGGATAAGGACATTATGTCAAGCATTAGTAAATGGCAAGACCCATAGGAACAGCTATGACACTATTTTGCAGTCCACAAAGGTACATAAGCCAAAAGTTCCCCTCCAACCAGTCGTCTCATTCCGAGGCACACTCAAAAGCGGGCTTGCAAACTGGCTATTTCCGAAGCTAGGATTCCTAACCTCGGGCTTAAAAACAACAGTGCACTGAGCACAGCACTTTCGACAAAATAGATGCAGTCACGAGCAAACCGAGCAAGAAGATGGTGTCATGTGATGTCGTCCCACTTTTCCCTACCAAAAGCCATTGCGCTTGAAACGCTCACTGGCCTTGTACAGTGAGTGACCGATCTCATGAAATGTTGGCTGAAATTTTGCAATGCGTTGTTGATTATGAAGGATTACTTGGTCGCGGTTGTAATACTGATTATCTTAAGGCATACTCTTATAACTTTTCGGACTCGGCAGGATGTCGGCTTTTGAACGTGCTGCTTTTCAATCTCCTGTAGAAAGCGTGCTCGGCAAAAAATGACTACTTATGTAGCATGCATTTCCCCATTGATTTTCGATGGTCTTGGAAATTCAAATATATTTTATAGAAACCATAAACAAAAATATGCTTTCTTTTAGTCAATCAACAGAGAATCACGTCTTCTTTATATTTTATACTCAAGGAAGGGGTGCAATTAGGTTTTAAAAAAGTTTTCTAATTGCCGAATAATTTGGAGCCTGATCATTCGTTGCATTAGCGCTTAGTGATTTCACTCTACATGACGCATGCGTTCCGCGTAAAGAAAATCACATATTTTTCTATGCTATTAAAGAGATATCATACAGAGTCCATAAAATTTTGCAATGGATGCAGACCATGTTGTACATTCCATGAGGAGCAGTGCTAAACGGACAGGTACGATGCTATGTGAATGGACATTTTGCGGTCTTACGGGAATATAAGCAGCAACGCAACATCTGTAAAACCGAGGCTTCCTGGCTGCGAAGGCAATTCGAACTTAACGTACGGCAAAATTCTTCGGAACAGCCGAAAATTCTATATGGCTATAAACGAAGTCCTAAAAGAGCTCATGAATTCATCCCTTCACTTATGTCTGAGGATAGAAAACTGGAGATTGATGATCAGGTTTACGCGTCCCTCCTTTCTAATTCATTTCAGTCCGTCTTCATCCGAGGACCTAATTTTATATTTGCTCCCCACCCGTTCGGCACCCCATGTCTACTTCTACTACCCTCCCTCCTCTTACCCGCCTCTTCCCTCCTCGATCGAGAAATGACACTTTTTATCTGCTATGGTTAGGGTCAAACTACTCCGACCGAAGCCTGCCAAATCGACTGGCGCGAGTAGGATTCCCGGTTACGCACTGCGAGAACTTACTGTGCTAGCCACTGTCTATAATATTTGAAAAGCAATTTGAAGAAGGCCAGCTCCCGCAAGAATGGAAGTGTGCGCTAATCACCTAGACACATAAAGGAGGTTCACGCCTTAACTGCGAAAATTATCGTCCCGTCTGTAGAAATGCAACCCGAACTTATTATTTAAACGTGAGCTTGCCACTCTTGTTCTTTTCTTAGACTCATCTGTTTTTCAAACTTTTTATTTTAGTTACCACGGTGGAAGGGTGTGAAAGGACTAGTAGAGAGACCGCCCAGAAGGAGGAGATCGTAAGGAAGCCGGAACAGGAATAAATACTGCGTGTTGTCATATTTTGTAATAAAAGTTCTTATCGTCAATCTATTCTACTTGCATGCGCCTGCGCTTGAGGACGATGAACTCATTTCACGCTAGTTTTCAGGATTCCAACCAAGAAGATACCCGACCCGATAGAAGCACTAAGGAACGTATACAGACTGCCGAATAGAGGAAGAAGCCAAACCCGTACCCTTGAGTGGTTCGGACACTGCATTGGTGGCAGCGACTAGGACGGACCCACTCACTCCCTTCCCTCGCCTACAACTACCTCTAACCCCATTCCCAATTCCTTTCTTTATTTTGATGGTCGGATCGATTTTCGTAGCTGGTTGCGTCGGTTCCGTTTCAAAATGGATGAGGTGCCGCATAACCAACGCTCCCGATTAGTTTTGAAATATTTAGGAGATGACCAGTGGATAAGGCCCTCGACGCCGGACTGTCAGTTTCAACGCCTTTTGAGATTTTGTGCGACCAACTCCAACGTCTGTTCCAACCTCGGTTGGCAGTTGAAGGTGCGATCCACCAACAATTACATCGCCGTCGTCGTATAGGGGAAACTCCTGAGCGGTTCGCTGCCGATATTTCGCGACTGGATTCCAACGCTTACCCGTTCTTGGCACAACTGATAAAGACCAGGTGGTCTTTTACCATGGCAAGTAATCACCAACCGGGTTTTTTTCAGCCGGACTACTCATCAGAGAAACGGCTGAAACGCTGGAAACTCATTTTGGAGTTAAAATCGAGACTGAAGGGAAAAGTAATTCTGAAAAATATGCCGTTTCAGTGGAACCAGCCAGTAATACTACGAACGACGGCAGCCACTCAGACACCTTCATGGAACCAGCCGCTGGAGGCGACAACACAAGCAAGTCCTTAACGCCCAATGTTCCGAATGATAGATAGATAGATAATTTTTTATTAAACACCCGTCGGGGTCCCATCAAAGAAAGTTAAAATAAATTTACATGCGAATTTTAGACGAGGTAGGCCGAATCTTTACAAAATGCAATTCATAGTTTCTGAATTAGTAGTCCATTGAGAAACATGATGATTGAGGGGTGAAATAAAACTCCTTACAAAAAGTTAAAAATGATTGAATTAATTTTACAGGAGAAAAAAACCCCTCAATAAAAATGATGACAGCAAAAAGCGAGCAGGACTGGCCTGTAGGTGGCGGTATATAACGGAATGTTGTCGGTCATCGTCAGGGTAGCAATAAATCTCAGCCTTGAGGGGTACGTATGCGGGTCAGACAGGACTGGCTTGCATGTGGCATTGTATACGGGATTCACAATTGAGATCGTCTGGGCCAGATTGATACGCCGCCTGAGACTATTCGCGTCAAAGAGGCCAGACGAGAGGAACCCAGATGCGATCGGCCACAGCACGCTTCGAGCTCAGCCGAGCAGTGAGGAAGGGAGGTACGACCGAACTACTAGTAGATAGTGAATTCTGAGGGTTCCGCCGTGAGCGTCGACAGACCGCATGAGGTCGGAATGCGGGAGATGGCATCAAAAACCACGAAAATTGTCGCAATGGGGAGGAGTGATAGCAGTGATGCAACGGACACTAATGAAACCCATCTAGTAGCTGAAGAGCCCGGAGAAAAAGGGCGTCTGAAATATCTCAGCAATGCTCAAAACAGTGACAAATGAAACTGGAGATTCGGCTGGTGCAAAATTGAGGTACTTATACACAAATGCCCAAAGCCTCATATCGAAACTAGATGGGTTAAAACTTTACCTTGCCGAGCTGTCTCCAGATGTTTTAGCAATAGCCAAAACCTGGCTCCCCGGGAATATTAGCAACAGCGAAATAGCCTTGCCTGGATACCAAATTTATCGGAGGGACAGGGAATATCATCAGGGTGGTGGTATAGTTGAGTATGTGAATGAGAGCCTGGCAGTGTCGGAAAATACCACCAAGCTTGCGTGCAGCACGGAAGCTATTTGTATATGTATATGTATATATTTATATATTGAAGGGTTACAGGCAGAGCCCTTGATGACCCTATTTATGTACAGTGCTTTCGCAGATTCATACTCAAAAATAAAATTAAATTGCAGGCATTTAAAATGTGATTGGGTCCCAGTTCAATCGTAATCATAGGGTAGTGCATGGGATCTCTGTAAATTAGTGCAGAAGATTGTATATGACATATTTTACAAAACTGGCTGTGCATAGTCATGCTGTCAGAGCTACTGCTTCCCCTAGTTTCGATATCCTCACTGTCTACCGACCACCTAGGACGGACCAAATCGGCGACACTTAACCATTGGAGCAGTTGGAGAAACTTTCCAGTCGACCTAACATCATGATCATGGGCGACTTCAACGCACCAGGAACAAACTGGAATACCCTCCAAACGTCAGGTCAAAAATCGGTATTCGATAACCGTCTGCCAAACAACAAAGTAAAGGCGTCCCTCACACAACACGTAACGTTTTCAACGAGAACACGTGAAGGACAAAGGGCAAACTGTCTAGATCTGGTTTTTACGAAAACACCAGATAGCATAGATAAGATCATCTCCATGCCGCCCCTTGACCGAAGTGGCCATGTAGTGCTTATGTGGGAATATTCGTTATTCTCCATTTCGCATATTCAGGGCCAAAAAGGACGCAATGTTTGGCCGATGGACTTCAATGAAATGAGAGCAGACTTATCCGGTCTCGACTGGGGCTCATTTTCTACAGGTCATGCAAACGATGACTGGGAGTTGTTCAAGAATGTCCTACTGCATCTCATCAACAACTACTGCCCTCTGAATAGTGCAAGACTGGACAAACGCCCTGACAGGCTTAATAGCAACCTTAAGAAGGAAATTAACAGGAAGCACAAATTGTGGAAAAAATACTGCGTCAGTAGGCAAGTGGAATATTTCAAAACTACAAAACACAGAGGAACAAACTGAGAAACATGATTATAAAAACGCGGCGGGAATTCGAGAAGACATTACTACAAAAGCAACGCAGAACCCAAAATTGCTCTACAACTGACTTCGACGAATTACAAGGAACAGGCATCATATCCTCTTAATAAGGACTACTGATGACGTTGACATTGCTGATAGTAGGGATAAAACTGCGTATTTTTCACAGTTCTTCCAATCAGTCTACACAAACGAGGCAAGGTTTCTTACTCCCTCCACAGAAGAACTGTCGACCCCAAGCATCAGTGATATACTCTTCTCAGAAGGCATTGTCTAAAGACAATTAAAGGCATTGAACCAATCGAAGTCGCCAGGACCAGATGGGATTCCACCCAAGCCTCTCAAGGCACTTGATAGTGAGCTTTATGTGCCTTTGTCGATGCTCTTTCAAACGTCATTTGACACTGGAACACTCCCTATCGATTGGAAGCTGGCGCATATTACTCCGCTATACAAAGGAGGTTGCAGTGCAGCGACGACAAACTACAGGCCCATAAGCTTGACATGCATTCTTTGCAAAGTTATGTAAAGGACCATTAAAAGTGAACTGATACATTTTCTGGAAGTTCACGGCCCGCCATCGAAATGCCGATATGGGTTCCGGAAAGGAAGATCCTGCACGACACACTAGCTGCAATCTCTCCAGAGCTGGACCCGAGCTCTCGACGACAGGCACGCGGTACACATAAACTTAATCGACAACCAGAAGGCGTTCGAAACTGTGCCACACCAGAGGCTCTTACATAAACTTAAAAAAATACGGATCGGTGGCAACTTCCTGAAATGGATCGAAAACCTTCTTTTGGGTCAACACCAGGTTGTGTGCATCGGTCAAGGGAAATCAGATCCTGCTGTGGTCGAGAGTGGTGTCTCCTAGAGCTCAGTACAGGGAACCATTTTGTTCCTTATATACGTGGATGATTGCTCAAGAGCTTTAGACTGCGAAGCAGCAACGTTTGCAGATGACATGAAAATATGGAGTGTAATCCGGGATCCTGCCGACGAAGACAGACTGCAGAGGAAGCTAAATCGGCTGGAGGAGTGGTCAAACCGTTGGCTCCTGCTGTTCAACGTTGGTAAATGTAGCATACTTCGTCTAGGAAAAACAACCAGATCCGCCATCACGAGCGACTAATTTCTGGGCGGCGCAGCCCTACAAGAGGTCAAAGCCCAAGAGGACCTCAAAGAGCTGACGACGGGTTCCCTGAAACCATCCCCTCATTCTTCGAGAGTGGCAAAAAGTGCAATGTACATTCTGTAGGCCATCAGGTCTCCGTTTATGGATTTTGATGAAGTTGCTTTCTCAAAGACATTCGGAACATTCGTCCGACCGCACTTGGAGTACAGCATACAAGCTTAGAGGCCATGGGTGGTTGAGGATCAAAACTGCCTCGAAAGAGTTCAGAGGAGAGCCACGAATATGGTTAGGGGGCAAATCTCCTTTCCTTATGCAACCCGCCTAGTAAATCCGAGCCTCTTTCTTTTGAGTTACAGGCAACTTTGCGGGGATCTCTTGCAAGCACTCCGCATTGTAAAAGGGTTTGATTGCAGCCTGGCCTTCGATGAATTTTTGAATTTACTACCAAGACCAACCTCCGAGGTCACCCGTTTAAACTGAGCACTTAGCAGGCAAAGCTGGATGTGCGGAAGTTCTCCTTCTCTGTTCGACTGGTCAAACCATTGAACGCCCTTCGCGCAGATGTTGTGATGTCCCATCTATACAAAGTTTTAAAAAGAACCTTCACCTATTTATGTTCCGAAATGACCAAGAGCGATGAGAAGTCAAGCTCACCCCCTGTAACTCGTTCCCATTTTGTCCTACCATTACGTGCTCGTTTGAAATATTTCAGCCTAGAACATTTTTCTGTATACCACACGTATTTGCGTTGCAAATAGGGTACTAAAAGGCTTACGCCTATTTCCCGCAATAAACTGAGCTGAACTGAAAAAAGAGCCCCCTGGACTCGGACGAGATGGCGTACTCCTTAGGTTCTAACCCCGCTGGTTATCTCGAGGGCGCCATTCAAAGAGCCATTCGTTTGTTGGAGCCGGATCGCCCAGGATCTGATTGCCATCGCCCTTCTGGAAGCACGACATTTTCCCCAGTTTTCGTGGACCTAGAGAAGACACTCGTCCTAGTGGTTTTTCTAGGTCAACCAACAACAGTAAATTTCAGTCTCATAGGTTTGTTTGGCCATCAGCCGCCATACTGGACGCCAACACATCGTTTGCATGAAGCTGATTCCGGTACCCATTCTGTCCCTATATGTTCTTCTACGTCGCACAATACTTTACCTTTCTTTACTGTGGTTCACTTTGACAACGGCCCCGTTATGGTTTTAGTTGACACAGGAGCTACGGTTTCTTTAGTTAGATCCCATTGGCTTACACCAGTTTGTTTGGATGATATCTTCAAACCCCAAAGGCTACCTAACCTACTAACAGCAAATGAGGGTCGAATGTCTGCAATCGGTCTAATTATTTCACCGTTAGTGTTATCTACCAGCAGCAAAGAGCATGCATTTGCCATAATCCTAAATATTACTTGGGCTATTTTGCCAGGCGTTGATTTCCTTGTCAAGTTTAGTTGTTACCTGAGCATTCGTGACCGCACTCTTCGTTTTGAATCTGACTCGACACCCATTCGTCACGCTGATTTGGCGTTCCTGGAAAATGAAGTCTGCGCGTCGACTTATGCTGCTGTTGCGCTACCATCTGCTAATTTATACAGCATTTTACCGAAGCATGCTGGACTCGATACACGAGACCGTATGAATCTGAAATCTCTTCTAGCAAACTTTGAGGATGCTTTTGCTTGGGACAAACGCTCGTTGGTTCGTTCAGCAACCGTAAGACACTCTATCGACACCGGCTCCGCAAAACCAGTGTGGCAGCCTCCACGGCGTATTCCGCCACATTTTCAAACGGAGGTAAATGAGGTGATCCAGACGATGCTTGAGTCAGGCGTGATATGACCTTCCCACTCACCCTGGGCAACTGCCGTGACCCTTGTGCCGAAAAAGGACGGATGACTACGCTCTTGCATTGATTATCGCCGTCTTAACGCCACCACAACTCGGGGCTCTTTTCCACTCCCTCGCATTGGTGTTACCTTCGATGTACTAGCGGGGGCACAGTGGTTCTCTACACTCGACCACAAGTCAGGATACTGGCAGGTCGAGTTCGAACCCAAAGATAGACCGAAAACGGCTTTCCTCCTTCCACAATGTCTTTTTGAATTCGAAACTATGCCTTCGGCCTTTATAATCCCGCCGCAATATTCCAACGTCTAACGAAATCGGTATTAGCACATTTCTACCCACGTCGCTGTTTGATTTACCTAGATGACGTCATTGTCTTTGGGAAGTCCATCAACCAACATAACGAGAATCTGAGAGCTGTTCTGTTTGCACTCCGTGACGCGAGACTCCGCTTAAACTTCCGAAAGTGTATGTTCTTACGTTACAAAGTGACCTTCCTTGGACATGAGATTAGTACGGAGGGCATATACGCTTCGTCGGACAAAACAGATGCTGTCAAAACGTGGCCCATTCCGACGACGGCAATCGAGGTTAGGGGTTTTATCGGCCTAGCCTCCTATTATCGACGTTTCGTCCTACATTTTGCAGGCATATCACGCCCTCTACATCATCTCACTGAGAAAGGACGAGCATTTAGGTGGACGAAGGAGTGCCAGGCAACATTTGATAAACTTAAAACACGGCTTAAAACAGCTCCCATTTTGATGTTATCCAACACAGCCAAATGCTCTCCCATTTATCCTTGATACTGACGCTAGTGGGTTTGCGATAGGCTGTGTCCTCTCTCAATACAACGAGAAGAGAACTGAAAGGTCTGTGTACTTCGCTAGTAAAACCCTAACCAAACCCCAGCGAAATTATTGTACTTATCGTAGAGGAATACTCGCACTAATCAGTTCAAACCCTTTCTTATTGGTCATTTCATCATCCATTCGGATCATAAAGCCTTACAGTGGCTGCAGAAGATAAAGGACGCCGAAGGTCAGCTTGCATGATGGCAAGAGGTATTACAACGGTCTGATTTAAGCTGTCAGTTCCGTCCGGGTAAGAAGCATGCCAACGCAGACGCTACACTCGATGCCCCACAAACAGAAAAAACTACCAGCTGAGGGTTTCGATTTCGTAACCACACTTACCATCAGTGAGCCAACCCGTCATCATTGGGCTATCGCTCAAAGCACAGATCCGCATATTGCCATCGTTTGTGACCACCAGCTCAACGGGTGACATCGACCGACGGACAACGAACTGCGCGGTTCATCTGATACTGCG